AAATAAATAAATAAATATAAATATGTTTATTCAGGTAAGGTACATCCATTTAAGTGATGTTACATTAATGGATTGATATATAGATAGAGCTAGTACATACAATGCCTAAAGCCACTATTACGCAATGCGTTTCGGGCAGGAAAAACATGAATATCTAGAACTTAATACTAATTGAGCATAAAGAATAAAAAGTGTTGAGAACAAATACAAATAAAGATAAAAAAAAAAAAAAAAAAAAAAAGGGGGGGGGAACATGACTGAAAAAGCAGCACAAATATATAGGTTGACAGTGTTGATTAAAAAAAAAAAAAAAACAGACATGGGTTGACAATAGAGTAGTGAGGTAGGTTACAGGGAATTTATTAGGTAGTGTTTAGTTTTTATCTTAAACTGGTTGAGAGAGGTACAATCTTTAACATGGTATGTGTAAACTAAAGTCTTTGAAAATGTAAAAAGTTTTACGAAACGCGCTCAAGTGTCGCGTCAGACTAGAAATAAATATGAATTTTGGAGAATTGATTTTTGAATTACCACCAACAGTGAAAAGAAATGTACGAAAGATCGAGAAAATTCGTGTTAGAATTATTAATCTTACTTTTTCGGTCATATTTAATAATATATGTCTACAGGAAAGACTGCTACCAAAATATACTAATATATATATATATATATATATATATATATATATATATATATATATATATATATATATATATATATATATATATATATATATATTAGTATATTTATATATATATATATATATATGTCGTACCTAGTAGCCAGAACTCACTTCTCAGCCTACTATGCGAGGCCCGATTTGCCTAATAAGCCAAGTTTTCCTGAAATAATATATTTTCTCTAATTTTTTTCTTATGAAATGATAAAGCTACCCTTTTCATTATGCATGAGGTCAATTTTTTTTTATTGGAGTTAAAATTAACGTAGATATATGACCGAACCTAACCAACCCTACCTAACCTAACCTAACCTATCTTTATAGGTTAGGTTAGGTTAGGTAGCCGAAAAAGTTAGGTTGGGGTTAAGTTAGGTAGGTTAGGTAGTCGAAAACACATTAATTCATGAAAACTTGGCTTATTAGGCAAATCGGGCCTTGCATAGTAGGCTGAGAAGTGCGTTCTGGCTACTAGGTACGACATATATATATATATATATATATATATATATATATATATATATATATATATATATATATATATATATATATATATATATGTCGTACCTAGTAGCCAGAACGCCCTACTCAGCCTACTATGCAAGGCCCAATTTGCCTAATAAGCCAAGTTTTCATGAATTAATTGTTTTTCGACTACCTAACCTACCTAACCTAACTTAACCTAACTTTTTCGGTTACCAAACCTATAAAGATAGGTTAGGTTAGGTTAGGTAGGGTTGGTTAGGTTCGGTCATATATCTACGTTAATTTTAACTCCAATAAAAAAATATTGACATCATACATAATGAAATGGGTAGATTTATTATTTCATAAGAAAAAAATTAGAGAAAATATATTAATTCAGGAAAACTTGGCTTATTAGGCAAATAGGGCCTTGCATAGTAGGCCAAATACGACGTTCTGGCTACTAGGTACAACATATATATATATATATATATATATATATATATATATATATATATATGTCGTACCTAGTAGCCAGAATTCACTTCTCGGCCTACTATGCAAGGCCCGATATAAAGCTACCCATTTCATTATGTATGAGGTCAATTTTTTTTTATTGGAGTTAAAATTAACGTAGATATATGACCGAACCTAACCAACCCTACCTAACCTAACCTAACCTATCTTTATAGGTTAGGTTAGGTAGACGAAAAACCATTAATTCATGAAAACTTGGCTTATGAGGCAAATTGGGCCTTGCATAGTAGGCTGAGAAGTGCGTTCTGGCTACTAGGTACGACATATATATATATATATATATATATATATATATATATATATATATATATATATATATATATATATATATATATATATATATATATATATATATATATATATATATACATATATATATACACATATATATATATTGGCAGCAGGTTTTCTTTCAAACATATTTCATTAAATATGACCGCATATTCTGTATTTATTATTTTCTGGTTTAGGGCTTCTATCCCTCTAACTATTTTCTTAGCATCAGGGCTTAGTTGAAATAGGAGTTCTCCAAAACTCATTTTCGTACTTTTAAGGTGAAGAAAAGAAGTGATTTACTATAGAGTGTATTACACTTATTTATACAATTTGCACAACGTTTCGAACCTCCATGGTTCATTCTCAAGTGAACAGATCTTACAATGCTGGTTGATTTTATACCCGCACTGGGTCAGGTGATAATACAATAAAGGTGAAAACATGGGGGGATACATAAGGGATAAATGTGAGGTGAAACATAGAGGTAACTGCAGAAGGCTTATTGGCCCAAACGAGGCAGCTCCTATCAAAACACAAAGATTAATCCTTCTGTGTTGGCATCGTTATGTTCTGCTCTTGTCCTTACAAGACCAGAACATAACGATGCCAACACAGAAGACAATGCCCAACATAACAGGCCAATTACACTGGATTAATCTTTGTGTTTTGATAGGAGCTGCCTAGTATGGGCCAATAAGCCTTCTGAAGTTACCTCTATGTTTCACCTCACATTTTTCACTCTATGTTTCACCTCATATATAAAACGCTGAACTGTAATGTCAATCCTGACCTCAAAAGCTTCATAGAAGGTTGTAACAGAACCCATGAGCACCACACCAGAAATAAATACAGTTTTGATATTCCAAGAGTACGACTTAATCAAACTAAAAATGCTCTACAAATCAAGGGACCCAGAATGTGGAATGACCTTCCCTACCATGTTAAAGGCTGTACCTCTCTCAACTAGTTTAAGATAAAAACGAAGCTCTACCTTATAAATTCCCTGTAACCAACCTTACCCCTGTATTGTCAACCCATGTCTGTTTTTTTTTAAACAACGCTGTTTGTCGACCTAATTGTATTTGTGCTGCTTTTTCAGCCATGTTCCCCCCTTTTTTATCTCTATTTTTATTTGTTCTCAACACATTTTATTCTTTATACTCAATTAGTATTAAGCTTTAGTTATTTAAGTTTTTCATGCCCGAAACACTTTGTGTAATAGTGGCTTTAGGCATTGTATGTACTAACCCTATCTATAAATCCATCATTCTTTGTAAAATCTCTTGTATGTATGTACCTTACCTAAATAAACATTTATTTATTTATTTATGTACAGTGACCACAACACAGCAGTTGCAACATCAGGATCTGCGGGTTGGTACAAGAATTCAACCAACTACGAACCACTTAGTTTGATGAAAGGGAGCAATAGAGCAACAGAAGTACATTTACATCGCATCAGGCCGTGGATACCCGTGTGCATGGGAAATAGGCTTACAGGTTCTGGAAGATGAGAGGAAATGTCAGCACTGTGTAGAAATGCCCGACAGACCACTGGAATATTATCTAACACAGTGCACAGTTACAAACCCATTAAGATTTCAACTTAGATTCAACAGAGCAGAAGAAGTTGTTAAACACATATATCAAAATCTTACTGAAGCGACCTTACGAGTCATAAATATTCATACTCCGCCCAAGTAAAACAGAAACAAGCAACACTTAGTGGGCCAGCCAGAGGCTTAGGGCCGCGCAGGAATATCCCTGCAAAAAACAAAAAAAATTATATAAATATATATATATATATATATAAATATATATATATATATATATATATATATATGTCTCTCTCTCTCTCTCTATATATATATATATATATATATATATATATATATATATATATATATATATATATATATATATATATATATATATATATATATATATATACGACATATATATATATATATATATATATATATGTCGTACCTAATAGCCAGAACGCACTTCTCAGCCTACTATGCAAGGCCCGATTTGCCTAATAAGCCAAGTTTTCCTGAATTAATATATTTTTTCTAATTTTTTTCTTATGAAATGATAAAGCTACCCATTTTCATTATGTATGAGGTCATTTTTTTTTATTGGAGTTAAAATTAATGTAGATATATGACCGAACCTAACCAACCCTACCTAACCTAACCTAACCTATCTCTATCGGTTAGGTTAGGTTAGGTAGCAGAAAAAGTTAGGTTAGGTTAGGTTAGGTAGGTTAGGTAGTCGAAAAAACATTAATTCATGAAAACTTGGCTTATTAGGCAAATTGGGCCATGCATAGTTGGCTGAGAAGTGCGTTCTGGCTGTTAGGTACGACATATATATATATATATATATATATATATATATATATATATATATATATATATATATATATATATATATATATATATATATATATATATATATATATATATATATATATATATATATATATATATATAACGCTGAACTGTAATGTCAATCCTGACCTTAAAAGCTTCCTTGAAGGTTGTAACGAATGCATGAGCACCACACCAGAAACAAATGCCTTTTTGATATTCCAAGAGTACGACTTAAACTAGAAATGCTCTACAAATCAAGGGACCCAGAATGTGGAATGACCTTCCCAATCATGTTAAAGACGTTACCTCTCCCAACCAGTTATAGATAAAAACTAAGCAGTACCTATAATTAACTCCTTGTAACCTAGCTTACCCCTAAAATGTCAACCCATGTCTACTATTTTAAACAATGCTTTTTGTCTACCGAATTGTATATTTGCTATTTTTCTGCTATGTTCCTCCTTTTTTATTTTATTTTCTCAACACAATTTATACTTTAATCTCAATTAGTATTAAGTTTTAGTCTTTAGTGTTTTTCCTACCCGAAACGCTTTGCGTAATAGTGGCTTTAGGCGTTGTATGTTCTAGCTCTATCTATAAATCCATCAATGTTTGTATCGCACCTTGTATGTATGTACTTTACCTGAATAAACATTTGATTTTTTTTGTGTGTAGCTTTATAAACCTTCACTGCCACAAAGGCTATACTTCGGGAATTCTCTAGCATCATTCTTCCCCCTTGGTTTTAATTTTGTCAATTGAGTTTTCATTGTCAATGGCGGAGGTCTTCGTCTCATTCTGCCTGCGGGTTGAAGTTCTCTCAATGATGCTCCTCAAATTTAACCTAATGGAAGAGGAGGAAGGCGTTCCCTGGGACACTGAATAGCGAGAGACTTGTCCATTGAGCTGTAAGGCAAAATAAAAAATATCAGTGGTGCTCAAAAAGAACACAAGATCATTAAAATTTACTCCTTTAACCCAATTCCCGACAGCACTTGATGACCAATTTGGGCACAGATATTTAATCAAATCACTTCATCATGCTAGGGTCACTTCATAGCACTCCTGGCTGTCTGGTTCGAATCCTTTTGGAGTGTGGTGTTTTCAGTTGTATATTTGCTTGGGACCCATTCAAGCTTGTTGCGTACAAGCTTGAATGGTTCCCAAGCCAATATGCAACTGAAAACTCCATACCCCAGAAGGATTCGAACCCAGATAGCTAGGAGCGCTATGCACCTTGGCATACCTGGTGCCTTAACCACTAGACCATACGACTATACAAAAATCTTGATAATCGTGAGTCTATTTTATCCAAGATCCGACAGCGCTTGATGGTCAAATTGGGCATAGATATTTCATCGAATCACCTCACTTTGTGGGGCCAAGTGAGCAACACAAAACGTGGCCCCTTTATGGGGCCACATGTTTCTCACGTGGCCCCATGAGCCTTTAATTTCCTTGCCAGTCGTTCATGTGGTTCTAACTGGGTTTGATATGAGAACTTGCCTAAAGCTAAGCTAAAGGTTTTTCATCCAGGCGACTATGTCCTAGTGTTAAAGCCCCGATTGGGAAGCTCTATTTATATTGAGTACGATGGCCCCTTTATAATATCAGAAAAGGTTGGGGACCTCATTTAGAAATTCAGGCACAAGGACAAGCAGAAACAGGTGCCCCTGAACCGTCTGAAAAAGGTTCCAGGGCGGCCATGCCAGTTGCTCTAACAAGTTCTTGTTTTTCCAGTGAGGGAGGGGATAATTGTTCTGGAGACACAGCTAATCCTACTTTGAACCATTCTAGCTCTGTGAGTGCAGTGGAGGAGAGGCTATCCCATTTGCAGATGTTCCAGCGTGAGACGGTGCTGCAACCACTTGTCGAGTTCTCTAGTCTGTTTGGGGAGTTCCAGAAGCAGACCGATGCCATCTACCATGATGTTAAGTTAATTGAGTACATCCCTATCCGCCTTCGTCAGCAGCAAATAGTATATCGTCAGAAAATAGTATAGGTTTAAGAATGTTACAGACATTAGGCAGATCATTGATTTGTAGAGATCTGGGATTTGTAGAGCATTTCTAGTTTGGTTAAGTCGCACTCTTGGAATATCAAATAGGTATTTGTTTCTGGTGTGATGCCCATGAGTTCTGTTACAACCTTCTAGGAAGCTTCTAAGGTCAGGGTTGACATTTGCAGTTCAGAGTTTTAAATATACTGAGTACACATGAGAGGATGTGCAGTGACTTAATATCTAACATATTCAAAGATTTGAGTAAGGGTACCGAGTGCTGTCTGGGGGTAGAGTTAGATGTTGTTCTAATACCAGCTTTGTGTTGAATAATTAGAGGATGTAAATGATTTTGTGTAGTAGAACCACAAGCACAAATACCATAACTGAGATAGGGATAGATGAGAGATTAATGGAGCATCGCCCAAAACGCTGCGCGTACTAGTGGCTTTACAAGATTGTAAATACTATGCTATGTATTTTCTCAAACCCAATGTACCTTCATGTATATAAATAAATAAAAATAAATAAATAAATAATAATAATCACCAGGGTAGGGCGAGGTACATAATATCTGATCTTAGAAAGAATGCCAACAGTTTTAGAAACTTTTGTTGATATATTTAGAATGTGTCCCTGGAAATTCAGCTTGTTACTGATGAGAACACCAAAGAATTTGCCATCTACTTTGTTACTAATTTGGGTATTGTTTATTATTAGATTAATTTGATTTGAGGATTTATTGGCAAACAAAATATAGAAAGTTTTGTCAATGTTAAGGGTAAGTTTGTTGGCAGTTAGCCAAAGATGGACTTTATTTAGTTCAATATTCACTGTGTCATTTAGAGCAAGAGGGTCAGGACTGGAGAAAAGGAAGGTAGTGTCGTCAGCAAATAGAATTGGTTTGAGGTGTTGAGAGGCATTTGAAAGGTCATTAATGTAGATGAGAAAGAGGAGAGGGCCAAGTATGCTGCAATGAGAAACACCGATGTTGATGGGTAGGGTGGGAGAAATTGAATTATTCACAGAAACATACTGGAGCCTGTCAGTAAGGTAAGACTAAAGATATTGCAGGGAGTGTCCTCTGACTCCATAATGATGTAATTTAAGAAGATTTTGGTGGTTGACAGTGTCAAAAGCCTTACGTAAGTCAACAAATATTCCAACAGAAAGAAATATTCCAAATATTTCATATTCGTACTTTCCTACACTGAGCTTTAAATTTGCTCTGTATCTAGTGTTACCCAATCTCCCAATCTTTATGTGCTTAATTTAAACAACTTTATCATTGTGTTCATTGCTGTCTTCTTTAATGTGCTAGCCATATGCTGTATTGTGCCTACTAATTTTTGTTAAACTACCATTCAAGCTGTCATTGCATTAAGTCTGAGCTACCTATGTGCTTTAATATACCTACAATTTTCTCTCATCTTTTATTTTTTTCTTGCTATGTAACTGTTATCATTTCTATAAATTTTGAAAGTATTTACCTACTTAAAATTTTCTTAGATTAAGGACCTGCCCGAAACGCTGCGCGTACTAGTGGCTTAACAAGAATGTAATTACTATGCTATGTATCCTCACAATCCCAATGTACCTTCTTGTATATAAATAAATAAATAAATAAATAAAATAAAATAAAAAACAGGGAACTCATTTTTATCAAGAGCTGCACGTATAAAGTTAATCATACTAATAAGTGCATCGTTAGTGTTTTTTGGGGTCTGAAGCCATATTGGCAAGAGCTAAGTATATTGTGTTTGGCTAGATAAGAGTAAAGCTGCTTGTAGATTAGTTTATCAAATATTTTTCACAGGTTTGGCAGAACTGATATAGGTCTGAAGTTGTTGACGTCACTGAGATCACCACATTTACAGACGGGGGTTACTCTCGCTTTTTTTAGATTATCTGGAAAGGTGCGGAGTTCAAGTGACTTGTTGTAAAGCAATACAATGGCGGTAACTAAAAATCTGGAGGCTTTTTTGTGAATTAGAGTTGGTATCTCCGCAAGGGCACTAGACTTTGCTTTAAGTGAAAGGATTATTTCATTAACATCAGTTGAATTAGTAGGCGTTAGGTACAGAGACTGTAGATAGTTACCTGCAAGGTAGTCCTGAACATTAGCACAGAAGGATGGAATATCATAAGCAAGGAATGACCCAATGGATGATAAGCTATTGAATTCAATTGCAGTATCAGAGGCTGAAAGCAAACCATCGTTATTGGACCGGAGTATTGGTTTTTTATTTAAAATCTTTTTTGAACCCAATATTTGTTAAATAGTGTTCCATGTTTTCTTAATGTTGCCCTTTATTTGGGTAAATTTATTTTCGCAGTATTTAATTTTGGCTCTCCTAATTATTTTAGATAGCACTGATGAGTAATTCTTTGAAATTTTTTTTGAGACGATTCCTAACCTATGCTTCTTCTTAAGATTATTTATTTATTTATTTATTTATTTATATACAAGAAGGTACATTGGGATTGTGAGGATACATAGAATAGTAATTACAATCTTGTAAAGCCACTAGTACGCGCAGCGTTTCGGGTAGGTCCTTAATCTAAGAAACTTATAAGTAGGTAAATACCTGCAAAATTTATAAAAATGATAACAGTTACATGGCATGAAAAAAATAAAAGATGAGACAGAAATTGTAGGTATATCAAAGCACATAGGTAGCCGAGAATGATTGCAATGACAGCTTGAATGGTAGTTTAACAAAACTTAGCAGGCACAATTATGTTTTTTATTAATAGATTTAAGTATCCCTTTGTAAGCCATGGTCAATTACTTGTGTCTGTCTTGTGCCAATTACATTTACAAAACCCTGTTCTTATAAGTGCAAACCCTGTTCTGAAACACTTCCTTGACAGATGTAATAGAACAAATACTTACCACACCAGATATAAATATCTCTGATATTCCAGAATCAAACTTAATCTGTGTAAACACTATGCAAATAAAGGGACCTAATCTATGGAACTCATTATTATTTATTATTATTATTATTATTATTATTATTATTATTATTATTATTATTATTATTATTATAGTCGTCAGTATCTCAGTGTTGCATTAGCTGCTGGCTCTAGCGGAAGATGTTTCTTCTTCCCTTCCGTGCTCTCTAACCCTTTGTTCCCTGGTATTATAGTTCATGTGAGGATCTAGTGTGATGATGTGTTCTCAGCAACACGAGGCTCTCACCTTCCTGCACTTGTCCTTGTTACAGACAGTGACCACAAAGACCGCCACGCCCTGCAGCCTAGTGAGGACGGTGAACATCACGCGCCTGAAAACAAATACGGTGCGAGTTTTATTCAATTAAAACTAAGCATCCCATAAAGCCTATCCTGTGAATGGAAAGAGGTCGCATGGGGTATGGTCAAATCATACACAAAGACTATTCGATAAAGCTCGTGTTCTGCTTGTTAAACAGTATACATGTTAGTTTAGTTTAGTTCATTTATTATGCACCCCATACCCCCATCTTGTGGGCGGTAGTGGAAAGGGTTACAGAGGCACATAATGGGCTCAGGGACTGAACCCCATGTTATGGGGAGTATGAAGTGTTACTCAGAAGGGCCAATAGCTAGAATCAAGATGTATCAAAAATAGTGGGATAGATAGGCCCGGCCCCCAAGGAACATAGGTTCCTGTTAATGCTTCAAGGTTTTAGAAAAAGATCTGTTGTCTAGACGACAATCACCTACACCACTTCAACAGGATTAATGGATACACCTCAAAGACTAACTTATTTATTAAACCCTCTAATAACCCCCCATATACATTACTATAATAAAAAAACACTATACACACACTACCTTATGTTAACTACCTTGGTCCACATAGACAGGATACAAGGCTTACACTTGGAAAAGCTAGAGTAAAGTCTACTTGAAAAGAACTCGAAAGCTTGAAGCAGCCTGGGGTAGCAATGCCCCACGTGGCACCCTGGTCACGACACAATACACTTAGGGATGCCCAAAACACTGACTTAGACTACTCAATAACTACAACTTTTGCCAGAGACCGGTTACACAGGGTTATACTTAACTTAGAGAATTACTGTAGACTAAGGGAAGGGAAAGGGAGAAGAAGGAGGAGAATGGAGACAGAACCACACAGGGAAGATGTTGCCACAAGCACAGCCAGACCAGAGAAGACCAACCTAGAGCCCTGCTACCTCGTACTCTAATCGTTGCCGGCCGGATACTCAGCTGATCGGACAGCAGCCATCATTCCAAGTTTACTCAGACATTCTTTACTAGTTTAATAATTTCTAAACATAGTTGATAACTAGTTCAATATTATATTTAATAATCAACAAGCACAGAGTCTTTATGCTCTGTGAGAAACAAGATTCGTCTTCCGTCTGGCAAGGAAGACGTGAACAAAGGTATGAAACGCTCCAAGTATAAATGTTATGTTAAGTAACTATCCTTCTCACAAGATTATTTGTAACTCAGTTTGACCTCTGGTTTCCACTAAGAACTCAGGGTCGTAACACCCCACAATTCATTTAGCTAAACAAGTTACAATCTTGATGAGCTAGTTACAAAATTCAGTATAAGTCCAGTTCAGTAGAAGTATATATATCATCAATGGGTTCGAGATCGACCACAAGTACAGTTTCTAAATTAAGCAACTGACGTATGTGGAGAGCTAGTGTCACAAGTAAGTAATTATCAAAAGAAGGCACCAAACCGGGAAGGCTATGTAACACCATCAAATGCACGGGATAATCAGAGGGCGCTAAATATCACCAAGGATGCCAATACGAGAACAGAAACGCATAAGGCGAACGATATCAAAAGTATCCGAGTCACCAAGAATTCTTTTGAGGGACAAGTGACTGCGAGGGGCGGTCGGAAAGCAAGACACAAGCTCGTCCCAGAAGTCAGGACATTCAAGAAGGACATGCACGACCGTAAGAGGGACAATGCAATTAGGACAATAAGGAGCAGGGCGGCGCTCCATCAAGTGACCATGCGTTAAGCAAGTATGGCCAATACGCAACCTTCCCAGAGCCGTTTCCCATCGCCGGTTTTGGTGGTAGGAGGATGGCCACGAGGACACACAACTTTTAAGAGAATGTAGTTTGTTACCAGTAATAGACGACCAACAAGCCTGCCAACGGGTAAGGATGGAGGAATGGATAACCGGGTAAAAGTCGGAATAAGGAATACCTTTACGAGAGATGGGACAAGAGCGGACAGCTTCCCTGCCGGCAGCATCCACACGCTCATTTAAAGGGACACCAATATGGCTGGGAACCCAACAAAACTCAACCGACTTAAATTTACTGTGAACAAGAAACAGCCAATGCTGGATCTCGACAACCACTGGATGAACCGGATTAAAGGACCCGAGAGCCATGAGGGCACTACGAGAGTCAACAACAACTACCAAGGAAAACTGACAACGAGAGAGCAGAGAGAATAGCATAAAGCTCCTCTGTGAAGATGCTAGTCTCTAGACGTAAGCGACACATATAAGTGTGATCAGGAAAAACAACAGAGTAGCCATCACCGTCCGCAGACTTCGACCCATCAGTGAAGACGGAAACGGAGTGGGAGTGAGAAGAAAAGTGCTCTAGGAGAGAAAACTTCAAGCGCTCCAGAGTTCATTGCTGGTCGACCGACAGTAGCGGGAGTGTAGCTGCCAAAGTCGGTTGTCTGTTCCGATAGAGAGTGGCTGGGTTGTCCGCCTGTACATAAATAACAGACGGTGCAACAACCAGAGCTATCTTTGGAAGTTTAAGTTCCATAAGACCCCCCCCCCTCAGGTCAGGACAAGGGGTTACAGATGGTCAGGGGGTTACAGATGGTCAGGGGTTATTGATGGTCAGGGGTTGTGGAATGTTAGGGTTGTGGATGGTCAGGGGTTATTGATGGTCAGGGGTTATTGATGGTCAGGGGTTGTGGAATGTTAGGGTTGTGGATGGTCAGGGGTTATAGATAGTCAGGGATTTATGGATGGTCAGGGACTTAGGGATGGTCAGAGGTTGTGCATGGTAATGATGGGTAATAGTTGGTCATGGGGCTGACAATGTTTAGACTCACCACCAGACACAGCTGTGCCAGAGAAACTTCGGAGGAAAGAGTTCCAACACCCAGACGACTCCCATCACGATAAACAGCTTACAGTAGGTCTTCCACCTGCATAGATATCACACACACACACATCCTTCATCAATCAAGCAATGAGCATATTAGTAGTTAAAATACATAGTTTTATGTATTTGAGCTATTAGTATTTACAGTAAGTGTGCATTACTGACCGTTGTTTTTACATGTAAACAAAAAATAAATAAAAAGTATTATTTCACCAGGAAGAGTTAATAAAATATATAATTATCTAAAAGCATCTTAGGACCTGTCCTATTTCTTGTATATATCAATGATTTGCCAAATGTTGATAACATTCTTAAATATATGGAATAATTCTTAAATAAACATGGAGCACAATTTCACAAATATGGGGATCAAAGAAGATTTTAAATAACAAACCAATACTCCTGTCCAATAACGATGGTCGGTCTGCTTTCAGCGTCTGATACTGCTTTTGAGTTCAATAGGTTCTTCTCTTCCATTGGATCATCCCTTGCAAATGATATTCCATCTTCCAGTACTAATATTCAGGACTATCTTACAGGTAACTATCCACAGTCTCTGTACCTAATGCCTACTAATTCCATTGATGTTACTGACATAATCCTTTCCCTTAAAACCAAGTCTAGTGCCCTTGAGGAGATACCAACTTTAATTTACAAAAAGAACTCCAGATCTTTAGCTCCTGCAATTGCATTGCTCTTCAACAAGTCACTTGAACTCTAAACCTTTTCAGATATTCTAAAAAATAAGCGAGAGTAATCCCTGTCCACAAATGTGGTGATCTCACTGATGTCAACAACTTCAGACCTATATCAATTCTGCCTAACTTGTCAAAAATATTTGAGAAACTAATCTACAAAGAGATTTACTCTTATCTAGCCAAACACAATATACTTAGCTCTTGTCAATATGGCTTCAGACCCCCAAAAAACACTAACGATGCACTTATTAGTATGATTAACATGATTCATGCAGCTCTTGATAAAAATGAGTTCCCTGTTGGGTTATTTGTGGACCTGCGTAGGGCTTTTGACACTGTCAACCACCAAAACCTTCTTAAATTACATCATTATGGAGTCAGAGGTCATTCCCTGCAATACCTTAAGTCTTACCTTACTGACAGGTTCCAGTATGTTTATGCGAATAATTCAATTTCTCCCACCCTACCTATCAACATTGGTGTTCCCCAGGGCAGCATACTTGGCCCTCTCCTCTTTCTCATCTACATTAATGACCTTCCAAATGCCTCCCATCTCAAACCAATTCTATTTGCTGACAACACGACCTTCATTTACTCCAGTCTTGACCCTCTTGCTCTAAATGTCACAGTGAATACTGAGCTAAATAAAGTCCATCTCTGGCTATCTGCCAACAAACTCACCTTCAATATTGACAAAACTTTCTATATTTATTTGCCAATAAATCCTCAAATCAAATAAATCTCAGGATAAACAATACCCAAATTAGTAACAAAGTAGATGGCAAATTTCTTGGCATTCTCATTGACCACAAGCTGAATTTCCAGGGACACATTCTAAATATATCAAAAAAAGATTCAAAAACTGTTGGCATTCTTTCTAAGATCAGATATTATGTACCTCGCCCTGCCCTGGTGACACTATTACTCTTTCATCTATCCTTGTCCCAAATATGGCATTTGTGCTTGGGATTCTACTACCCAAAATCATTTACGTTCGCTAATTACTCAACACAAAGCTGCTATTTGGTCAATATCTAACTCTGGCCCCAGACATCACTCGGTACCCTTACTCAAATCTCTGAATATGTTAGATATTAAGTCACTGCACATCCTCTTGTGCAGTAAATAAAATATATATATATATATATATATATATATATATATATATATATATATATATATATATATATATATATATATATATATATATATATATGTTCCGATCGGCTCGGAGACCCTCGGTTCGTGGGGAAAATGTGCATTGAAGTTCCTGAAGGAATTGGGGGACAAATTGATCAGCGCTACAAAAGACCAGAGAGCAAAAAGTTTCTTGTTCCAGCGCCTCAGTGTTGCGATTCAGAGGGGAAATGCCTGTTGCGTCTTGGGCACTAGTCCAACTTCAGAGGAATTCGAAGAAGTGTTTGACTTGCAACAATGATCGAACCCGTCTGTGACATTCATCAATGTTTCCCATTGTTGTGTTCTTCAAGACATCCATAACCTTTAAGCACCTTTTTGCATTATTATTTTTGTATCAACCCATGTATGTCTTGTAACCATCAAATGCATAATAAAGCACAAAAAATATTCAAGGAAGGGGTTGGTAGGAGAAAAGCACACAGAAACTGTATTGGAGGGGATCTAAACATTCCCTCTAATGCGTTATGCGTGGTTTCCTCCGAGGCTATGGGTCCCCCTTCTTCCAGCTAGAGGTGGTACTCCCTTCCTATATATATATAAAAAAAAAAAAAAAAAAAAAAAAAAAATTATATATATATATATATATATATATATATATATATATATATATATATATATATATATATATATATATATATATATATATATATATATTTATTTATTTATGGTGTGGTGATTATGGGTTCTATTACATCTGTCCAGGAAGAGTTTCAGAACAGGGTTTGCATTTAAGAACAGGGTTTTGTAAATGTAAATGGCACAAGAGAATGTGTGGAGTAAATTTATGTTTAGCATATTTAGAGATTTAAACAGGGAGGGCTGAGTGTTGTATGAAAGCAGAGTTTGTTATTGTTCTGATGGCAGATTTTTGCTAGGTGATGATGGGCTTGAGGTAAGTAATTATCAAAAGAAGGCACCAAACCGGAAGGTTATGTAGCACCATCAAATGTGTGGTATAATCAGAGGGCGGTAAATATCACCAAGGATGCCAATACGAGAACAGAAACGCATAAGGCAAACGATATCAAAAGTATCCGATTCACCAAGAATTCGATCGAGGGACAAGTGACCGTGAGGGACGGTCGGAAAGCAAGACACACGCTCGTCCTGGAAGTCAGGACATTCAACAAGGATATGCATGACGGTAAGAGGGACAATGCAATTTGGAGAATAAGGAGCAGGGCGGCGCTCCATTAAGTGACCGCGAGTTAAGCGAGTATGGCCAAGACGCAACCGTGCTAGAGCCGTTTACCACCGCCGGTTACGGTGGCAGGAGGAAAGCCACGGGGACACACAACGCTTAAGAGTACGCAGTTTGTTATCAAAAACAGATGACCAACAACCCTGCCAACGAGCAATGATAGAGGAATAAATAGCCGGGAAAAAGTCGTAAAAATGAATACCTTTACGGGAAACGGGAGACAAGAGCTGATAGCCTCTCTAGCGGCAGCATCCGCACGCTCATTTAAAGAAACACTAGCATGGCTGGGAACCCAGCAAAACTCTACAGATTTAAATTTACTAGAGATAAGAAACGGCCAATCTTGAATCTCGACGATTACTGGATGGACAGGATTAAAGGACCCGAGAGCCATGAGGGCACTACGAGAGTCAACTACAATCACAAAGGAGGATTGACAACAACAAAGCAGGAGACGGAGAACATAGAGAACAGCATAAAGTTCCAGTCTGAAGATGCTAGTCTCCGAAGGGAGGCGACACTTATAAGTGCGGTAAGGAAAAACAACGGAGTAGCCCACACCATCTGCAGACTTAGACCCATCAGTGAAGATGGAAACGGAGTGGGAGTGTGAAGAAAAGTGCTCAAGAAAAAGGCATTTCAGAACTGTAGGAGGAGTAAAAGCTTTAGTAATGCGGGTCAAGGATGTACAAAACTTTGGAAGGGGGACCCTCCATGGGGGCAAGGAACGAACAATACGAGGAGAAATACGAGAAAGACAAATGGAAAGAGAGTCCTGTAAGCAAGATAGCCGGGCAGAAAGAAGGAAATGGTGAAGAGGAACAGGAACTACAGGAGGGGTAAAAGTCAAAGCACGACAGAGGCGAGAGGAAGGATGTTGCAAGGACCGCACCAGATAGCGAAGACAGTAGCAATCACAGCGGTCCTGGAAAGATAGGAATCCAGTCTCAACATACAAGCTGAGGACGGGAGTCGAACAAAAGGCACCAGAGCTGAGGCGCAACCCAGCATGGCGCAAAGCATCAAGACGGCGAAGAGTAGAAGGAGAAGCGGACGAGTAAGCAGGGCAACCATAATCGAGTTTAGACAGGACGAGTGAGGAATGTAAAGAGAGGAGCGTACACCTATCCGCCTCCCCCCCCCACCCCCAAGAAGTATGGGACAAAACCTTAAGGAGGGAAAGGGCCTTAGAGCATTCAGCGTGGAGGTAAGAGATATGGGCCGACCAAGACCCATATCTCGGTATCTAATGAATTAAAAAAAAATCCAACCTATGCCTTATTCAAACGTAAAACCAAAAAGTACCTAATTTCATCCTCAGTTTCCTACCATGTGCTTCAATCTTACACTATCTTGTACTACCCACTTCCTCAAAATTAGTACTCAAGACATATATCTTCACCAATGTAATCACCTGTCAATTTACATTACAGTTATATGTTGATAACAAAATTTTACCTTTTCATCTTACCTGACATGGTAGATTAAGGACCTGCTCGAAACGCTTTGCGTATTAGTGGCTTTGCAAGAATGTAAAAATACCAATCTTATGTAATCTCACCAACCCACTGTAGCTTCTTGTAAATAAAAATTATTTGTATAATTATTATTATTATTATTATTATTATTATTATTATTATTATTATTATTATTATAAAACATTGTGTACTTAATTTGGGATTGGACATGTCCTTTGGCTTGTTTCATTTCTGAGTTGCCTGTTGTTGAGCATCTTGTTGAGGCTGTATACGACATGGAGGAAGAAGCCACAGTTGACCACCATCAGGACCAAGATGATGCTGTCCTTGTAAATCCACCGAGACTCATTTGCTGAAATGATACTCCATGAGACAGGCTCGTTATTTTAGGATTCAAGTATTTATTTCTTTTATCCCAAATACAAAATACTTCATGAGCGGGTTCAAATATTATGCATCTTCCACTAAAAATATATTAGAATAACATAATAAATGTAGAATATAAGAGCAAACAGTTATTCCTAAAAAAATAAGCTAACAAGAACGACAGTGAAGTCAACCTTCAACAAGTGAAGTTTCTGTAATTGCTTGTCTTATCGTATCGTGACCCCTTTGCATTTCCATGCACACTGATATTGATCCTGATCTAAATCTTCTGTCTCATATCTACACCCATCAACACATTGATCATCATTATTGCAGGTATTACACAACACACCAGGCAAAAAAACAAACTCCAAAATAGCACCTGCTTATCAGTTTACAACCAAAATGTTAGATCACTTGGAAACATTTTGACGATATAAATGCACTACTCACAGCACTAGGTACTGATTTATCGTTCATTATTTTTAACAAACTTGGCAAAGTAAAGACTATAACCAACTCTAACTTAGCTGGTTATAAAGCCATTCACAACTGTAGGCCTAATAAAAAAGGAGATGGCACAGCTATATACTACCAAGATACCTTCATCTCCAATAGTTTATTTATTTATTTATTTATTTATATACAAGAAGGTACATTGGGATTATGAGGATACATAGCATAGTAATTACATGGAACTCACTCCCTAACGAATTGAAAAGCTGTCAAACGTTTGCCTTATTCAAAAATAAAACCAAAAAGTACCTCATTTCATCTTCATAGTTTCCAACCTAGTGCTTGAAACATTATGTTTACTGAACACATAGTTTGCTACATTATACCTTGCAATACTCCTCAAATTATGCTACAATGTACCTGTGGATAACCCTTAAATTTAATGTACCTACTAGTCCTGTCAAATTTCTTAGAAAAAATACATTGTATACTTCGTTACAATGTATTTTTATACTTTCTTACAATGTACCTGTAATTTTGCTAGAAATTGCCTTCTTAAAATTATATGTTAGATTAAAGATCTGCGCAAAACGGTATGCGTGCTACGTGTCTTTACAAGAATGTAATACTTCAATGCTCTCTACTCTCATCATAAACCCAATGTGCCTTCTTGTAAATAAGTAAATAAATAAATACAGTCCGCTTAAATTATAAAATCATTCATTAATAAATAATCTAAAAATAATTAATATAAAAAATTAATTCAATCAATAAATAAGTTCATGCTAGGACAATTTCCCCAAACAAGGGACTTGAGTCTTAGAGTCTCCCACTGTCGGGAACAGGAACCTGTTAGGCCTATTGAAGTCCCCTTTGGCCAAAGACTGACATTTCCCAGGATGCAGGTAACAGCAGTTGTCTAACTTCCACCTATTTACTGATAGGTGAACAAAAGTACTGGGTGTAAGGACGTGTCAACACCCCTGGAATAAACCCAACACCCCACAAACACCACATCTCAAGAGTACCAGACCATACCATTCCTTGAACATCACACATCAACACCCCAGGAACACAACAACACCCAGGAGCACCACAACACTGCCCGAAACGCTGCGCGTACTAGTGGCTTTACAAGATTGTAAATACTATGCCATGTATTCTCACAAACCCAATGTACCTTCTTGTATATAAATAAATAAATAAATAAATAAATAAATATATAAATAAATATATATATATATATATAAACACCCCAGGAACACCACAACACCCAGGAGCACCACACCACAGCAAGAACGCAGGTGTACTTTGCATACCTTCTCAATTTCCTGTTTTTATGTTCAATTTCTGTACTAATGTAGACATTTATTAGCTATCCTTTGTCAAGTTTCTGCCAATTAAAATTATTTGTTTATTTGTTATATATACGAATAGACCTCTTGCTATCCCTGAGCATAAATATAGCCTTAACATATACTTGGTGAACCTGTCCTCTTACGAATTATGTCTGAATGTGGCCGTTTGCCCGTATGGCCGAAAATGGACGAAATTTGAAAATGAAAAAATTATAATCAAATTTAGATTTTTTCTTTCAAACAGTAAGTTAAGGGTCCTCTGGTAGGTTAGGAGGGCAGGAAATTCTCCCAAGGTTTCGAAACGTCATGAAAAACGTTAAATAATTTAACGTTTCCTTTCCTATCTTAGCGAGTAAGCAAGACGACTCAAACAGAAAACGGGACAGGACATCACTTTTGTGAGCCAATTTCATTTCAAATTACGTCCATATTTTGGCCATAGCGCGCATACGAGCGAAAAGCGACGTTATTTTTAAGAAGACGGGTTGCAACATCAGCCTTTACCTACTTCCCAAAACCAGCATTTACCTACTTCCGAAAAGCAGCGTTTACCGGAAACTCACATGTCACTGTATAACACCACAGATCAATTCACTACAACACCCAGCACATTCACTTACTAGAGAACCAGCAATTTGAATAGGGATCGTTAAACCCAGGCCGTAAGTAAGTGTCGTTGAGGAAGGTGTCGTTGAGGAAGGTGTCGGTGAGGAAGGTGTCGGTGAGGACCGCCAAGGCCGCCAGCAGGGACGGGCAGCCCCAGGCGTAGACCTCGTACCTGAAGAAAACCTTCCAGCTCCTCCCGGACCCGCTCTGGCCTGACCTGTTGAGATGTATCCATCAGTAGGTGAATCTGTTCCTGGGACAGACTAGTTAACATCACAAGCATCGCCCTGTTCGTTTGACATAACTTCGTTCACATATAATTGGATCTTCAACATATAAGACCAGTCTGAATTTTAAGTTATGGTGATTATACAATTACCAGAATTTGTGCCTTTCGTGACGCTAATCTGCGTTCACCCAGGCAGCGAGGAGCTGTTCGCAAGATGCAATTGTATGATGGCTCCCAGCTTGACTACGTAAACATATTCAAATACCTTGGCCTTGAGGTCCCACAGTATGTTCCTATTGTAATTAGACTCTGTCGTCAGTATAGAGGCTCAGAGCTCTCAAGGATCTTACATGTAATCACTCAGCCTATGGTGCCAATGTCAGAATTTTCAAAATGATGTACCTAGCATACATCAAATCTTTAGTGGCTAATGCTGCACCTATGTTTGTTTTGATGAATGAAGGAAAGATTGGAGGGCTTGAAAAATTGCAGAACAAAGCCTTGAGGATAATCCTTGGGGTGCCCTTGTCCCACAAAGATACTTAATATAAGAAAGGAACAATATTGCGAGTGTCATTGATCGTGTTACTAAAATTAACTGTCAAATTTTTATAAAAATGCTTAGACCAGCTCATCCTAACCCCTCCAGAATTTCTTTATTGAAGGTCAGCATTGTTCAAAGTGAATAATTAAAACTGGAACCGAACTCTGAATGTATCAGGTTTATAAATTGTACCAATAGAGACAACGGCACTTTCTTGCACCGTGGGAGATTGCCCCCTTTTCCAATCATAATCCCTCCCTTTCCACCCAAGAAGCAAATTAGAGATCAGCCCAAGTTTCGTCTTGAGACAAAGCTCAACGCCTTAAGCCATATTGATGCTCTCTCCACAGAGCATTCTCTCTCTCTCTCTCTCTCTCTCTCTCTCTCTCTCTCTCTCTCTCTCTCTCTCTCTCTCTCAAATCATATACACTGATGATTCCCTCAACCGCCCCACGGGTGCAGCTGGAAGTGCAGTTGTCCTGAGAATTGGCGATGGCTTATATTTTGAGTGCGGAGTCCGTATAAACAACTAGGCCTCTACCCTTCAGACCGAGCTATTTGTCTTGCATTGAAATGTGTACAAGTCTCCAAACTTGATACATTAATTGTAAGTGACTCTTTATCATCCTTAATTGCACTCAATTCTAAGACATAACTGTAACATGCTCGTGTCTGAAGCTAGACAGAAATGCAACAAAATTATTAATGATGGTAACATATTCCATTTCATGTGGATTCCATCTCATGTTGGCCTCCGAATGCATGATTGAGCTGATGAGTTAGCTCATTCAGATGAGTGAGGCCAAGTGAAATAGACACCAGTAATTCCATCTACCATCATACTATCATACTCGAAGAGCCACACATCTATGGATCATCCAATAAAATCATCAGACTCCTAAATGTTACTACTGCTCGGCTTAGACTCGGCTATTAGTATCTCTGGAAATTGTTATTACGTACCGATGTAGACCTGACCAAATGTAAACTGTCAACAAAATTGTTCGCACACTTGGTCCGTCACTGTTTGATGAAGTGCGAAAAGATGCGTGAATTCAGAGACAAAGAACCTGAACTTTAATAATAGTTACTATAACACATCTTCAAGTAACTATTTCATTCAAAATTATCTGCTACTAGAAATTTTAGCCAAATAATACCCAGTTTGCTAATTGTAGGTAGTAACTAAGTTATTGTAACCTATCCACCGCTGCCCACTGGATAGGGGGCGGTCTATGTCACTTGCTTAATTAATTTAGAAACTGTACATGTGGTCGGGCTCGAGCCCATTGATGATGTGACGATGTGCATTGAATTTTGTAACTAGCTCATCAAGATTGTAACTCGCTTAGCTAAATGACTTTGGGGTTCAGTCCCTGAACCATTATGTGCCTCTGTAATCCTTTCCACTAGAGGTAGTCGAAATTTAACATTGGCTGTTTCTTATCTCCAGCTTGAAACAATCAAAGGGACCCCACCTCCACCACGTTACACAGTAACTGGTTCCTCAAATCAACAACCCTCTTACCAAACCAGTATTTGCCCAGGTCTCTCCTAAATCTAAATTTATCTAATTTATACCCATAGTTTCGTGTTTTGTCTTGTGTTGATACTTTCAAGACCCTATTAATATCCGCTGTGTTATGTCCAATACCCTATTAATATCCCCTTTGTTATGTCCATTCATCCACTTGCACACCTCTTATTATATCACCCCTAATTCTTCGCCTTTCTTGAGAATGTAATTCAAGCTTTGTCAATCTTTCTTCATATGACAGGTTTCTAACTTGGGGGATTAACTTTGTCATCCTACGCTGGACGCGTTCTAGTGAATTTATATCTATTCTATAGTACGGCGACCAAACTGAACAGTATAATATAAATGGGGCACGATATAGCTGAAGAACAACGTCTTATTACTAAGGCGACGGGACACCACGAGCGTAGCTCTCATCCTGTAACTATACTTACGTAATTACACTCTGTTAATTACACACACACACACACACACACATATATATATCTTCGTGAATAAAATTCACATAAAAAGTTAATTCCACAGAACAAGTGGGTCTGGATGAAAGCTTGAAAAACAGACGAGCTAAAAAGATATTAGAAAGCTTTATTTTAGCGTTAGAGTAGCACGAAAACAAAACGAACCAAAAAAGCAGGTTGTAGTAGAGAGCTTCATTCATAATTTCAAAAGTGGATATCATTGGAAAATAAGTTGAGAATAGTTGAGAATATAGTTGAGCAGTTAATAGTTAATAGTTGAGATTTAAGTTGAGAATAATTGCATTAGACAACCGGAGGCATGAGAGGCGGGGTCCAGAAGCTAAGGACCCCTAAAGGCACAAACGGGTGACTACAAATACACATACGTTATCGTCTTCCAAATGTCATAAGAGAAGACGTTGATCCAGAAGAACGTGGAGAGGATAGACGACAGGTTCAGGAACGCTGCAAGACATAAGAACGTTAGACAATAAGAACAAAGAGGAGAAAGTAGGAGAAAATTCTGTTAAAGTGCCAGATTTTCGAAAAGCTGATTTTAATAGCCTAAGAAATTTTTTGGGTCAAATTGATTGGAAAGGCTTGGGTATGGGGTGTGGGCCGGTCTTGGAGCGAGACATGAACCCAGCGATAGGTGACTTAAATGGGGATTTCGATGTGGATTCAATATATAACTTATTTAAGAATATTCTAAACAAAGCACAGGAACGTAGTATACCATACAAATTGAATAGATCGTATACTAATGACCCAAAGTGGATAACAAAGAATTTGAAGAACCTTATAGGTAAAAAGAGAGCTTGGTACAAAGGATTAAAAATGGGGAGGTCACTTTAGAACAGGAATTCGTACAACTGGTTAGAAATGTTAAAAAAGAGATAAGGAAAGCAAAAAGGAACTATGAAGTTCGCATAGCAGGGCAAGCAAAGACAAATCCTAAAGGGTTTTTTCAGTTATATCGTACTAAGACTAGGGAAAGGATAGGTCCATTAAAAACTGAGACAGGTCAAATAACAGATAGTGATGAAGAGATGAGTAGTATTTTTAATAAATATTTTGTATCTGTATTTACTAAAGAGGAACTTAACAATATGCCTTCAGCCGAACAAGTCTATGTGGGTGGGGACGAGGACAGGTTGACGAGTTTAGCAGTTACCAGGGAGGATGTTCTTAAACAAATAGTAAAACTCAAACCAAACAAATCCCCAGGGCCGGATGAAGTGTTTGCTAGGGTGCTTAAAGAATGCAAAGAGGAGCTTTGTGACCCACTGTCAACCATATTTAATAAATCAATAGAGTCAGGCAGAGTGCCAGAGTTTTGGAAAGTTGCTAATGTGATACCAGTTTTTAAGAAAGGAGATAGATCACTTGCGTCTAACTATCGACCAATTAGCCTAACGTCTATTGTGGGAAAGTTACTCGAATCTATAATAGCAAATAAAATTCGTCTTCATCTTGAAAAACATAAATTAATAATTGAGTCGCAACATGGTTTTATAAGAACATAAGAACATAAGAACATAAGAACAAAGGTAACTGCAGAAGGCCTATTGGCCCATACGAGGCAGCTCCTATTCTATAACCACCCAATCCCACTCATATACTTGTCCAACCCGTGCTTGAAACAATCGAGGGACCCCACCTCCACAATGTTACGCGGCAATTGGTTCCACAAATCAACAACCCTGTTACTGAACCAGTATTTACCCAAGTCTTTCCTAAATCTAAACTTATCCAATTTATATCCATTGTTTCGTGTTCTGTCCTGTGTTGATACTTTTAATACCCTATTAATATCCCCCCGGTTATGTCCATTCATCCACTTGTAAACCTCTATCATGTCACCCCTAACTCTTCGCCTTTCCAGTGAATGCAACTTAAGCTTTGTTAATCTTTCTTCATATGAAAGATTTCTAATTTGGGGAATTAACTTAGTCATCCTACGCTGGACACGTTCAAGTGAATTTATATCCATTCTATAATATGGCGACCAAAACTGAACTGCATAATCTAAATGGGGCCTAACTAGAGCAAGATATAGCTTGAGAACCACACCAGGTGTCTTGTTACTAACGCTGCGATTAATAAATCCAAGTGTCCGATTTGCCTTATTACGTACATTTATGCATTGATCCTTTTGTTTTAAATTCTTACTAATCATAACTCCCAGATCCCTTTCGCAATCCGACTTCGCAATCACAACACCATCTAGCTCGTATCTTGTAACTCTATCATCATTACCTACCTCAGAACTTTACATTTATCAGCATTAAACTGCATCTGCCAATCCTTTGACCATTTCAAAACCCTATCTAGATCAACTTGAAGTGATAGTGAGTCCTCCTCCGAATTAATTTCCCTACCGATTTTCGTATCATCGGCAAATTTGCAAATGTTGCTACTCAAACCTGAATCTAAATCATTTATATATATTATAAACAACAGAGGTCCCAGGACAGAGCCTTGAGGCACTCCACTTACAACATTTTCCCACTCTGACTTGATTCCATTTATACTAACTCTCTGTTTCCTTTGGTATAGCCATGCCCTAATCCAGCTTAATACAGCACCCCCAATACCATGAGACTCTATTTTTTTAATCAGTCTTTCATGTGGCACTGTATCAAAAGCTTTGCTAAAGTCAAGGTATACAACATCGCAATCCTTACCACTATCAACTGCCTCAACAATGCTAGAATAAAAAGATAACAAATTTGTTAAACATGAACGGCCATTTATAAAACCATGTTGCGACTCAATTATTAATTTATGTTTTTCAAGATGAAGACGAATTTTATTTGCTATTATAGATTCGAGTAACTTTCCCACAATAGACGTTAGGCTAATTGGTCGATAGTTAGACGCAAGTGATCTATCTCCTTTCTTAAAAACTGGTATCACATTAGCAACTTTCCAAAACTCTGGCACTCTGCCTGACTCTATTGATTTATTAAATATGGTTGACAGTGGGTCACAAAGCTCCTCTTTGCATTCTTTAAGCACCCTAGCAAACACTTCATCCGGCCCTGGGGATTTGTTTGGTTTGAGTTTTACTATTTGTTTAAGAACATCCTCCCTGGTAACTGCTAAACTCGTCAACCTGTCCTCGTCCCCACCCACATAGACTTGTTCGGCTGAAGGCATATTGTTAAGATAAATGGCCGTTCATGTTTAACAAATTTGTTATCTTTTTATTCTAGCATTGTTGAGGCAGTTGATAGTGGTAAGGATTGCTATGTTGTATACCTTGACTTTAGCAAAGCTTTTGATACAGTGCCACATGAAAGACTGATTAAAAAAATAGAGTCTCATGGTATTGGGGGTGCTATATTAAGCTGGATTAGGGCATGGCTATACCAAAGGAAACAGAGAGTTAGTATAAATGGAATCAAGTCAGAGTGGGAAAATGTTGTAAGTGGAGTGCCTCAAGGCTCTGTCCTGGGACCTCTGTTGTTTATAATATATATAAATGATTTAGATTCAGGTTTGAGTAGCAACATTTGCAAATTTGCCGATGATACGAAAATCGGTAGGGAAATTAATTCGGAGGAGGACTCACTATCACTTCAAGTTGATCTAGATAGGGTTTTGAAATGGTCAAAGGATTGGCAGATGCAGTTTAATGCTGATAAATGTAAAGTTCTGAGGTTAGGTAATGATGATAGAGTTACAAGATACGAGCTAGATGGTGTTGTGATTGCGAAGTCGGATTGCGAAAGGGATCTGGGAGTTATGATTAGTAAGAATTTAAAACAAAAGGATCAATGCATAAATGTTCGTAATAAGGCAAATCGGACACTTGGATTTATTAATCGCAGCGTTAGTAACAAGACACCTGGTGTGGTTCTCAAGCTATATCTTGCTCTAGTTAGGCCCCATTTAGATTATGCAGTTCAGTTTTGGTCGCCATATTATAGAATGGATATAAATTCACTTGAACGTGTCCAGCGTAGGATGACTAAGTTAATTCCCCAAATTAGAAATCTTTCATATGAAGAAAGATTAACAAAGCTTAAGTTGCATTCACTGGAAAGGCGAAGAGTTAGGGGTGACATGATAGAGGTTTACAAGTGGATGAATGGACATAACCGGGGGGATATTAATAGGGTATTAAAAGTATCAACACAGGACAGAACACGAAACAATGGATATAAATTGGATAAGTTTAGATTTAGGAAAGACTTGGGTAAATACTGGTTCAGTAACAGGTTGTTGATTTGTGGAACCAATTGCCGCGTAACATTGTGGAGGTGGGGTCCCTCGATTGTTTCAAGCACGGGTTGGACAAGTATATGAGTGGGATTGGGTGGTTATAGAATAGGAGCTGCCTCGTATGGGCCAATAGGCCTTCTGCAGTTACCTTTGTTCTTATGTTCTTATGTTCTTAAAGGCAACTGCTGAAGGCCTATTGGCCCATACGAGGCAGCTCCTATTTATAACCACCCAATCCCACTCATATACTTGTCCAACCCACGCTTGAAACAATCGAGGGACGCCACATCCACCACGTTACGCGGTAATTGGTTCCACAAATCAATAACCCTGTTACCGAACCAGTATTTACCCAAGTCTTTCCTAAATCTAAACTTATCCAATTTATACCCATTGTTTCGTGTTGTCTTGTGTTGATACTTTTAATACTTTATTAATATCCCCTTTGTTATGTCAATTCATCCACTTGTAAACCTCTATCATGTCACCCCTAACTCTTCGCCTTTCTAGTGAATGCAATTTAAGGAGAGATGAGGAGATGCATTAAGATGCATCTGGGGAGACGAGTCCATCCTAATATATTGTATATATTGTCTCTTATATACAACACAAAATATATCTTATAATACACAAAGGTTATGGATATTGTGCTCTAAAATAAATATATATTATATATATAATGAAGTATGTAATTACAAAATAGTATATTTTTTTCAAATTCACAATAACGTCAAACGCTTCAATATAATAATTATTACATTGAAGCGTTCTGCCATTATTGTGACATGAAAACAAATAATATACTAATATTGGAATAATATTAATAATAATAATATTTATAATAATATTAGAAATATGCAATCATTTTTGACTGAAGTTTTTCAATAAAATAATGCAGACACTATCTGCAAGATGTAAAAATTACGTATTTTAGGTAAATTCTCTTGTTAATATTTTACAATATTATTTTTAAGATTTATATTTATGTAATTTATAGCCTATGTAAATTATTATAAACATAAGAACATAATAGGGTTTATAATAGTTAAATAGGGTTTTGAAATGGTCGAAGGATTGGCAGATGCAGTTTAATGCTGATAAATGTAAAGTTCTGAGGTTAGGTAATGATGATAGGGTTACAAGATACGAGCTAGATGGTGTTGAGATTGCGAAGTCGAATTGCGAAAGGGATCTGGGAGTTATGATTAGCAAGAATTTAAAACAAAAGGATCAAT